TAATAATAATAATAATAATAAAAATAATAATAACAAAATAATAATAACAATAATCATGTGACACGGTTTAATTCTTAGAAATAATAATACTAATTATAAGTACTGTTATATTCTTGCTTATTACTTTCTTCCATTCTATCATCATCATCATCAATCCTATCATCATCATCATCAATCCCATCATCATCATCAATCCCATCATCATCAACCACATCATCATCATCATCAATCCCATCACCATCATCTTCTTCTTCAAGCTACAAAGGCGCTCAAACCACCACCATCATCAGCCATACACCCATAATAATCAATATTATTATCATCAATCTCCTAATAATTATCATAATTTATTATAATTAATTATAATTAATTATAACCAGCCAGACACCATAACCATCACCAACACAGCCACATCACCATAGCGATCATTACCACCACTACCATCAACCTCATTCTTCCTCCCATAATTAACATAATTCATAACTATAATTAATTACAACCAAATTATCATAACTCGCTGCATAATTCATTACTATAATTAATTACAACCAAATTATCATAACTCGCTGCATAATTCATTACTATAATTAATTACAACCTAATTATCATAGCTCGCTGCATAATTCATTACTATAATTAATTACGACCTATTTATCATAATTTATTATAATTATGTGCGATCATCCTTACTCACCGTCTTTCGACATGCCGAGGGCCAGGCACTTCTTGTAGCGGCAGGCAGCACAGGCGCTCCTCTTGCCCGGTTGGATGGTGCAATCCCCACTTCCGAAGCACCTGTAACTCTCCTTGCGTTGTAAACTTCGTCGGAAAAAGCCCTGAGTGAGAGAGTGAGTGAGTGAGTGAGTGAGTGAGTGAAAGAGCGAGTGAGTGAGTGAGTGAATGGATGGGTGGATTATTTGATGAATGAAAGAATGAATTGATGGATGGATGGATGGATGGATGGACGGACGAATGAATGAATGAAAGAAATAATGATCAATATAAATAAACAGTTAATCACACCAAATTTAATTATTTTCACTAAAGAATCAAAAAGCGATTTAAGAATTTTTCCAATTTCTCTTTAACAATTTGTAATATTTATTATTTTATTGTTATAATTATAACTATTATGGTTATAATAAATATTGTAGCATAATTTCATAATAATTAACCAAAAACTTAGGCTTTCCATGGAATGAAATATCGGTTAATTGTTACTGTCATTTTAGTATCTGTTCTAATTACATTCAGCTATTTTTATTATTATATTATTATTAGTAGTAGAAGTAGTAGAAGTAGTAGTTGTAATAGTTGTGGTAGTGGTAGTAGCAGCTGTGGTAGAAGTAGTGGTATTTGTAGTAATAAAAGTAGTAGTAGTAACAGCAGCAGCAGCAGTAATAGTAGTAGTAGTACCAGAAGTAGTAATATTTTTAGTAACATTAGCAGTAGTAGTAGTAGTGGTAGTAGCAGAAGCAGCTGTAGTAAAAGTAGTAGTAGTAGCAGCAGTAATTGTTATTATTGTTATTATTATTGTTATTATATTATTGTGCTATTATTATTACTATTATTATAATTACCATAATTATATACTCGAATATGGTAATTACGTTCCATTGTCAGCATTCTGTTGCCTCACATCTCCGATTAACATTCTCCTAACCTTAAAGAATACTTTATTACTATTACCTTTGTTATAATTAATAATAATAAAATAATAATAGTTATAATAGTATATTATAATAATAATAGTAGTAATAATATAATAGTAATAAAATAATAATAATAATAATAATAATAGTTTACTAGTTAAAGAAGAATTATTAATAATAAGAGGTAGAAGTATTCAGTATAAATAAAAGAGAGCCAGGGAAATATATATCTTAAGTTGATGTTAGCTAAATACAACTGAGATATGATTTTCAAACAAACATTTAGATTAGCTCGATATCTGGCAGACGCATATTCACAAACTCATTGAGATTAGTCAGATGTCATTGATATTTATTTTATACATCTTCAAATTGTCACTCAGATCAGTTACATATCATCCAGACGCAAACCAGGTCAACGAACCAGAAATTCAATAGGTGCTGTTATGCTTCATTCAAATTTATTTAATGAAATTAGTTACATATTAAATGGCACCAAACAAATTCACTAGTCGAAATTAGTTAGATATGGTAATGTAGGTAATCAGACATTGAAATTAAGTAAATGCCATTAGGTGCTAAGCGAATTTAATCAAAGAGATGTTGAAAGGTGCCAAACTAATTTATTTTATGAAATTAGCTAGAATTTGAATTGTGCCAAACAAACTCAATCAGTGAAATTAGTTAGATGTTGTTATGCGCTGAACAAGTCCACTTAGCAAAATTAGATGGATATATCTATGTACTAAACAAAATTAGTGGTCGAAATTAGTTAGATGCCGTTAAGTATTAAATGAAACAGCGAGATTAGTTAGATGTTCTTTGGTACTTGATAATTTCAGTCAGTGAAATTAGCTAGATATTGCAGAGAACTCACCTTACAGGCCTCACACGTGTTGGCTCCATAATGGAACCCCGAAGCTTTCTCACCGCAGATTCGACAGGGAGGTAACATAGGTGCTTGCTGTGATGATGACGGGGCTGATGACGATGAAGATGATGATGTTGTTGCTGATGATGATGATGTTGTTGCTGATGATGATGATGTTGTTGTTGATGTTGATGATGATGACAAAGACGATGATGACGATGGTAACAACGATAATGATGATAGCGGTACTGATAATTGTGATGATGATGACGACGACGATGATGATGATGATGATGGTGGTAACTTCTGATTCACCATTCTTTGCTGCATTAATTTAATATAAGACTGCGAAGACGATGATGATGACGAAGACGACGACGACGATGATGATGATGAGGACAGTGGCGACGATGAAGACGACGATAAATGTTGATGTTGTTGAACTTTGGTACTGCTACTACTGCTACAGCTGCTATTGATGGCTGGTTTTATTTTTAACAGCTTCTTCTCAGCCCACCCTTCCCAATCGTCATTATCTCTCCTCGTTAAGTGGCGTTTCGTTGACATTGATTTTGCGTTGTTGTTGTTGTTGTTGTGGTTGTTGCTGTTGTTGTTGTTGTTGTTGCTGCTGCTGTTGTTGTTGTTGATGTTTTTGTCATCTTTAACAATTCTTTTATTACTGCTATTATTATTATTCTCATTATTATTATTATTATTGTTATTATTCTCATTGTTGTTATTATTACCATCATTATCGAAGCTATCGCCCACGACGCCAATGCAGCAGCTTCTGTTGCGACAGCCGCAGTTTCCAATCTTGCCACCAAGGGTAAATTCGTTTTCGGAAATGGGTGGCGGAAAAAATTTCCCACCCTCACAGTCTAGGTCGTCGAGAAAGTCAGCCCCCTCAACATTTAGGGGACTCTCCCCGGAGAAAATTTGGCTCGTTTCGGTCAAAAAATTGTCCTCATCGTCACCGGAATCGGAAAAAGTGTAATATGACTTTTCCCGAAGACTATAGAGGTCCTCTTTCAACTGGATGATGTCGTGTCGAAATTTTATGTCGTTGTCGTAATCACAGGCGATGTTGTCGTCGTCGTATGCGATTTTGTCGCTGTCGTAAACGATTTTGTGGCTGTCGTCAGCCATGCTGTTGCTGTCGTAAGGGACATTGCTGCCTGTGTCGTAGTTGATGATGTCGTTGCTGATGTTGACGTTGTCGTCGGTAATGTTCTCGTTGTCGTTGGTGTAGTTGATCGAGAAGTTATAATTAATGTTGTTGTCGTCGTTACCTAAGTTGTTGTTGTTGTTGTTGCTGCTGCTGCTGCTAAAGTCAGCAATGTTTACAAAGTTGTTGTTGTTGTTGCTGCTGCTAATTTCAGCAATGTTTACAAAGTTGTTGTCGTTGTTGTTGTTGCTAAAGTCAGCAATGTTTACAAAATTGTTGTTGTCGTTGTTGTTTAAGTTGTTTTCGATAATGTTGATGTAGAAATCGCTGTCGTTAAACAACTCGGCTTTTAATGGTAAGTCCCAGAGTAGAGGATGTAGTTGTAGTTGTTGCTGGTAACGAGGCTGTGGCTGTTGTGGTTGCTGCTGTGGTTGAAAAAACTGTTGTTGTTGTTGTTGCTGCTGCTGTATGGCTTGATTTTGGAATGGAAGATTAGAGTTGGAGATTATGTCATCGTTGATCTCGTTGTTGTTGTTGTTGATGTCATTGATGTCATTGATGTTGTTGATGTTGTTTTTGTTAATAATGTTGATGTTGTTGTTGATGATGTTGTTGTTGTTGTTGCTGTCACTGATGTCAACAACTTCACTTTTAACAATATTTAATTCATCGATGTTGTAGAAGGACGACGGCGACAGAGTCTGTATATCCATCTGTAACTCCATGGTATGATTTTTAAATTGCTGTTGAGGTTGTTGTTGATGCCACTTGTGACGTCACTGTTGATTTTGTTGCTGTTGTTGTCGATGTTGTTGAGGATGTTATTCGTGACGTCACTGCTGATATTGTAGTCGTTGTTGTTGTGGATGGTATTCGTGACGTCAATGCTGATGTTGTTGTTGTTGTTGTTGTTGTTGTTGATGTTGATGTTAGTTGTGACGTCACTGCTGATGTTGTTGTCGTTGTTGTTGTTGATGTTATTTGTGACGTCACTGCTGACGTTGTTGATGTTATTTGTTACGTCAGTTTTGTTGTTGATGTTAGTTGTGACGTCACTGTTGATGTAGTTGTTGTTTTGGTTTATTTAGTTAGGCGGTTGTTGTTGTTGTTGATGTTTTCTGGCTGATCGTTATGACGTTGTCTTAGATCTGGGCGTTAATGTTGTTGTTATTGTTGTTAATATTATTGTTTATGCTCTGTTGTTGCTGTTGTTGATGTTGCTGCTGTTGTTGTTGTTGTCATTGTTGAGTTGATACAGTTGCTATCTGTTAATGTTGTTAATGTACAACATAGCAAACATCAATAAATGAAAACAAAGAATTTTAATTTTAGTTCGATTTTAGAACGAAACAAAACAAAACAAAATAAATAAATTAATTAATTGATTAAATGAATTATCGTTATTGGTTAATCCAAAATTATAAATTGACATATTATATACAACATATAAGATAAGATATCCGTCTTTCTACTCTGTTGTTCATTCTTTCATTCATTCATTCACTCACTCATTCATTCATTCATTCACTCACTCATTCATTCATTCATTTATTCATTCACCCATTCACTCAATCACCCATTTTTAAAACAAATAATACATGTAATTTCTTCAAATTAACACTCAAAATACAAAAGTTAAATAAAACAGACCTTAGCCCATGAAGAAATTGAACGCTCAAAATGTTACACACGTGTTGTGTTATGGTATGTTAAACAGACCCTCACACACACACACACACACACACACACACA